ACTAAATGGCACTAGAGTGGCACTAAGTGGCACTAAATGGCACTAGAGTGGCACCCGGTGGCATCAGATGGCACCAAAGTGACAAAAAGTGGCATCCGGTGGCACTACATTGGCACTAATTGGCATTGAATTGGCACTACGGGGACATCAAGTGGCACCAAGGGGCATCAGATGGTTCCAGAGTGGCACTAAGTGGCATTAGAGTGGTAAAAAGTGGCATCAAATGGCACCAAAGTGGCACCAAAGGGTGCCAGGGGGTGCCAGGGGTGCCAGGTGTCACTGCATGGCATCAGAGTGGCACTAAATGGCACCAAAGTGGCAAAAAATGGCATTAAAGGGGTAAAAAGTGGCACCAAAGTGGCACTAAGCAGCGCCAGGTGGCACCAGGTGGCACTACATGGCATTAGAGTGGCACCAAAGTGGCACTAAATGGCATTAAATTAGCAAAAAGTGGCACTAAATGGCTCCAGAGTGACATCAAATGGCACTAAAGGGACACCAAGTGGCACCAGGTGGCACCAAATGGCACCGAAGTGGCACTAAAGGGACATCAAGTGGCACCAGGTGGCACTACATGGCACTAAGTGGTACTAGATGGCACCAGAGTGGCACTAAATGGCATTAAAGTGGTAAAAAGTGGCACCAGATGGCACCAAAGTGTCACCAGGCGGTGCCAGGTGGCGCTAAGTGGCACCAAAGTGGCAAAAAGTGGCAAAAAATGGCACCAGGTGGCACCAAAGGGACATCGAGTGGCACCAAAGTGGCACCAAAGTGACAAAAGTGGCACCGAAGTGGCAAAAATGGTACTGCACTGGCACTAAAGTGACAAAAATAGGCACTAAATAGCACCAGGTGGCACCCAAGTGGCACTAAGTGGCACCAGGTGGCACTAAAGTGACAAAACTGGCATCAAATGGCACCAAAGTGGCATTTAATTAGCAAAAAGTGGCATTAAATGGCACCAAAGTGGCACCAAAGTGACAAAAATGGCACCAGAGGTGACACCGAGAGGCCCCAAAGTGGCACCGAGGTGGCACCGAGTGACACAAAATGGCGCCTGAGCGCCACCGGGGCCATCGAGCGGCGCTTGGGGACACCGGGGTGGCACCCGAGGAACGGAAAGTGGCACCAGGTGGCACCGAGGGGACAAAAAAGGGACAAAACACTGGCACGGACCCTCCATCCACCCCAGTGTCCCCAAGGTGTCCACAACCCCCCCCAGTGTCCCCAAAGTGTCCCCAAATCCTCCCAATGTCCCCAATGTCCCCAATGTCACCCACAGGTGTCACCCACAGGTGTCTCAGTGTCCCCAGTGTCCCCAGTGTCACCCACAGGTGTCTCAGTGTCCCCAGTGTCACCCACAGGTGTCACCCACAGGTGTCACGCACAGGTGTCTCAGTGTCCCCAGTGTCACCCACAGGTGTCACCCACAGGTGTCACCCACAGGTGTCACCCACAGGTGTCTCAGTGTCCCCAGTGTCCCCAGTGTCACGCACAGGTGTCTCAGTGTCCCCAGTGTCACCCACAGGTGTCACCCACAGGTGTCACCCACAGGTGTCACCCACAGGTGTCTCAGTGTCCCAATGTCCCTCAGGAGCTCTCTGGGCAGAGTCTCCAGGTTGTTGTTGGCCAAACTCTTGCGGGGACACAAACGGGGACAGTGGGGACAGTGAGGGGACATTGGGGACAGTGAGGGGACATTTGGGGACATTGGGGACAGTGAGGGGACATTGGGGACAGTGAGGGGACATTTGGGGACATTGAGGGGATTTAGGGACAGTGAGAGCGTTGGGGACATGTGGGGACACTCACAGGAATTGGAGCCCCCGGAGTCCCCGGAGAGACCCCGGGGAGACGAAACCGAGCTGGGAATCCTCGATGAACCTGGAACCAGTACGGACCAGTACGGACCAGTACAGACCAGTACAGACCAGTACGGACCAGTACGGACCAGTACGGACCAGTAGGGACCAGTACGGACCAGTACGGACCAGTTTGGACGAGTGGGGACCAGTAGGGACCAGTACGGACCAGTACGGACCAGTGTGGACCACTGTGGACCAGTGTGGACCAGTACGGACCAGTAGGGACCAGTAGGGACCAGTACAGACCAGTACGGACCAGTTTGGACGAGTGAGGACCAGTAGGGACCAGTACGGACCAGTAGGGACCAGTACGGACCAGTGTGGACCAGTAGGGACCAGTGTGGACCAGTACAGACCAGTACGGACCAGTAGGGACCAGTACGGACCAGTAGGGACCAGTGTGGTCCAGTATAAACCATTATCGACCAGTGTGGACCAAAAAACACCATAAGATCCATTAAAATCCATAGAAAGCAGTATGGACCAGTATAAACCAGTACGGACCAGTACGGACTAGTACGGACCAGTATGGACCAGTATGGACCAAAAAAACCCCATAAAATCCATTAAAATCCATAGAAACCTGTATGGACCAGTATAAACCAGTATGGACCAGTATGGATCCAAAAAACCCTGTAAAAATCCATACAAACCAGTATAGACCAGTATGGAACCAGTATGGACCCGTCCCTCGCAGTTCAAACCAGTCCACACCAGTATAACCCAGCCCCATTCCCAGTATAACCAGTACAAACCAGTATCACTCACAGGTACTCCAGTCCCTCCCAGTCCCCCCCAGCCGCATTTCCAGTCCGAACCAGTATAACCCAGTCCCTCCCAGTCCAAACCAGTATGAACCAGTGCAAATGAGCCCCATTCCCAGTCCCTCCCGGTACAAACCAGTATAACCAGTAACACACTCACAGATATTCCAGCACCCCCAGCCCCATTCCCAGTATAACCAGTACAAACCAGTATCCCCAGTATCACTCCCAGCCCCATTCCCAGTCCCTCCCAGTACAAACCAGTATAACCAGTACAACACTCACAGATCTTCCAGCATTCCCAGTCCCTCCCAGTCCCTCCCAGTATAACCAGTACAGCACTCAGAGCTACTCCAGCATCCCCAGCCCCATTCCCAGTACAGACCAGTATAACCAGTAAAAACCAGTATCCCCAGTACCTCCCAGCCCCTCCCAGTCCCTCCCAGTACAAACCAGTATAACCAGTATAACCAGCCCCTCCCAGTCTCTGCCAGTACAAACCAGCACAAACCAGTATAACCAGTGTAACCCAGCCCCATTCCCAGTCCCTCCCAGAACACACCAGTACAAACCAGTACAAACAAGTGCCTCCCAGTATAACCAGTATAACCAGTATAACCAGTATAACCAGTACAAACCAGTACAAACCAGTCCCTCCCAGTATAACCAGTATAACCAGTCCCCTCCCAGTACAAACCAGTATAACCGGCATAACCCAGTACCACTGCCAGCCCCATTGCCAGTCCCTCCCAGTACAAACCAGTCCAAACCAGTATAACCCAGTATCGCTCCCAGCCCCCTACCAGAACAAACCAGCATAACCAGTACACACCAGTCCCTCCCAGTATAACCCAGTATCGCTCTCAGCCCCATTCCCAGTGTAACCAGTATAACCAGTACACACCAGTCCCTCCCAGTATAACCAGTATAACCCAGTATCGCTCCCAGCCCCATTCCCAGTGTAACCGGCATAACCAGTACACACCAGTCCCTCCCAGTATAACCAGTATAACCCAGTACCGCTCCCAGCCCCATTCCCAGTGTAACCGGCATAACCAGTACACACCAGTCCCTCCCAGTATAACCAGTATAACCCAGTATCGCTCCCAGCCCCATTGATTGCAACCAATCAGCGGCCTTGAAGGCGGTATCTAAAGGCCGCGCCATTTTGTCTTTTTTCGACTACAACTCCCGTCATGCCCTGCGGCGGCATAGAGAGCTATTAAAGGCTGGACTACAGCTCCCAGCATGCCTCGCGGCCTCTTAGAGCGCCATTGAAGCGGGGCCAACAGCTCCCGTCGTGCCCTGCGGCACATACGTAAGTATTGATGGCTGGCTTACAATTCCCTTCATGCTCCGCGGCCCCATAGAGTCTAATGGAAGCCGGGCCTACACCTCCCGTCATGCCACGCAGCCACACAGAGTGCCCGGTACACGCCCCCAAATGTCCCCCCAAACCCAAAGTTGCTCCTCAGTTGTCCCCCCGGACCCCCAAGTGCCTCCCAGGATTCTTAAATGATCTCTCAGCCCTCACTCAGGACCTCCGACTGCCCTCACGGACTCCCAGGTGCCCCCCTAAACCTCCCACCGCCCCACTGACCCTCAGTCTGCGCCTACAATTCCCATGCTGCCCAGAGCCTACAACTCCCATCATCTCCCGCGCCCCACAGAGGCCAGGTAAAGCCAGGATCCAGCTCACCAAGTGACCCTGAGTGCCCTCAGACCCAAAGTTCCCCTCGGCTGCCTTTTGAGTGTCCCTTAAATGGCTCCTCTGACCCATAAGTGGCTTTTAGGACGCCCAAGCGCCCCCAGACCCCCAAGTTCCCCATCGAGCAACTTCCGGGCCTACAGCTCCCATCATGCGCCGGGACGCCCATTGAGTTATATTACAAACACGCAAACAACTCCCACCAAACCCCGCGCCCCATAGAGAATCTTTATAACCAATAGAGCCCCGTTACAAACACGCATACAACTCCCATCAGCCCCCGCGCTCCACAAAGAATCGTTATAACCCATAGAGTCCCAAAGAGAATCATTATCACCCATAGAGCTCCATTACAAACGCGCATACAACTCCCACCACCCCCCGCGCCCCATAGAGAATCATTATAACCAATAGAGCCCCATTACAAACGCGCATACAACTCCCACCAGCCCTCGCGCCCCTAGAGAATCATTACAGCCACGCCTACAACTCCCATCATCCCTCGCGCACCACAGCGCCCCAGTTACTTGCCTTCAACTCCCGTCATGCCCCGCGCCTCCCATAGCCCATCATTGAATGCCCCGCCCCTCCCGCACTACAACTCCCGTGCTGCCCCGCGGAGCTTTTCCCGCGGTTTTTCGCTCCCCTCAGTGCCCCCCGGCCATGATGGCGGAGGCGCTAGAGCGCTGGCTCCGGGAGGAGATGGAGCTGCCGCCCTCCGCCATCCCCTCCCCGGCCACGCTACGCAGGTCGGGACCAGTCGGGGACCCCCATGGGGACCCCCCTGAGGCGGGCAGGGGCCGCGGGGTTTTGGGGTGCCGGGGGTGGGAACCCCCCGAGGGCTCCTAGAGGGGAGAGCGGGAATGTGGGGGGGGCTGAGGAGGTTTGGGGTCCCCTTGGAGGGTCCTGAGAGGTTTTGGGGGGTCCTGGGGGGATTTTGGGGTCCCTTTGGAGAGTACTGGGGAGGTTTTGGGGTTCCTTTAGAAGGTCCTGGAAGGGTTTGGGGGTCCCCTTGGAGGGTCCTGGGGGAATTTTGGGGATCCTGAAGGGGTTTTGGGGTCCCTTTTGTTATGAACAAAATTCGGGTAATATTTTTTTTGTGAGAAAAAGTTACAAAAAGCAGCCAGACCACGGGTAGCTGCTGAAGTTCTTCGTGTTTTGTTATTGTAATCACGAGTCGTTGTGGCTAATCGCTCCTTTTGTATCAGCAGAGCCTCGCCCGAGGCTAAGTTGTACCTTTCCCAGAAGGGTGGGAACCTTCCCGAACAGTAGAAGAGACCTGAGAAGGTGGGGGGGGCTATGCAAAGTGACTCCAAGACCACAATGCAGCATGGGTCCCCCGGTGTACGGAGAAAACCCCAAAACAACGAGCCACCTAAGAGTTGAGAGACTGGAGTGATGTCTAGACGTGAAGAGCCGAATGCTGAACCTGCAGAGATGCAAAACACCTTCAGAGCCTCTCGCCCTGACCAAGAGAGACGACCCCGGCGGTGAGACCAGGCTGACTGAGCTGGCAAAGGTACCATCTGACGGGATCAGCAGGCCCTAAAGGCTCCCACGAGGACTTGATCCCCAGCTCTGCCCCTTGCGGACAGAGCTGCGCATATCCTCCTCCTCTGAGTCGCCCGGGAAGACGACGGAGACTGCAGACCCGTCGAGCCACCCAATCCTGAGCTGATCACTTTTAATAAAGGCATTGAAAAAGGAGAAGAAGTCTCCTGGCCCTGCTTATTTCACCTTTGAAACATCCTGGGGCGTTTTGGGATCCCCTTGGAGGGTACTGGCTGGGTTTTGAGGGGTCCTGACAGAGTTTTGGGGTCCTTTTAAAGGGTCCTGGGGGGTTTTGGGGTCCCCTTGGAGGGTCCTGAGGGGGTTTTAGGGGTGCTGGGGGCATTTTGGGGTCCTTTTGGGTGGTCCTGTGGGAGTTTTGGGGTACTTTTGAGGGGTCCTGGGGGGATTTTGGGGTCTCTTTGGAAGGTCCTGGGGTGGTTTTGGGGGTCCTTTTGGGGTCTCTTTTAGGGCATCCTGAGTGGATTTGGGGATTCCTGGGGGTGATTTTCGGGTTCCTGGGTGAATTTTGGGCTCCTGGGTGAATTTTATGGTCACCCCCAAATGTTGGGGTGCCCCAATTCCCTCCCCTGCAGGCTCTGCTCCGGCCCCACAGCCCCCATTTGGGATTACGTCATCCGCCACGTCCGGAACCAGCGGTGAGGGGGGACCCCAACATTGGGGAGGGTGAAAAACCCCACAAATTGAAAGGGGACCCCAAAATTTAAGGGGAAGGAGGGGGAGATGCTTTCCGGGCCTACAGCTCCCATCATCGCCCGCGCCCCACTGAGTTCCATTATAGCCAAGCCTGCAGCTCCCATCATCCCCCGCGCCCCACTGAGTTCCATTATAGCCAAGCCTACCGCTCCCATCATCCCCCGCGCCCCACTGAGTTCCATTATAGCCAAGCCTACCGCTCCCATCATCCCCCTCGCCCCATTGAGTTCCATTATAGCCAAGCCTACAGCTCCCATCATCCCCCACACCCCACTGAGTTCCATTATAGCCAAGCCTACAGCTCCCATCATCCCCCGCGCCCCACTGAGTTCCATTATAGCCAAGCCTACAGCTCCCATCATCCCCCGCGCCCCATTGAGTTCCATTATAGCCAAGCCTACAGCTCCCATCATGCCCCACGCCCCATTGAGTTCCATTATAGCCAAGCCTACAGCTCCCATCATCCCCCACACCCCACTGAGTTCCATTATAGCCAAGCCTACAGCTCCCATCATCCCCCGCGCCCCACTGAGTTCCATTATAGCCAAGCCTACAGCTCCCATCATGCCCCACGCCCCACTGAGTTCTATTATAGCCAAGCCTACAGCTCCCATCATCCCCCGCGCCCCACTGAGTTCCATTATAGCCAAGCCTACAGCTCCCATCATGCCCCACGCCCCACTGAGTTCTATTATAGCCGGCCTACAGCTCCCATCATGCCCCACGCCCCACTGAGTTCTATTATAGCCGGCCTACAGCTCCCATCACGCCCCGCGCCGCCCAAAGAGCATCATTGCAGGCCCCACCCCCCCGAACTACAGCTCCCATCATGTCCCGCGCCATCTTCCCGCTCTTTTTCCCGGTTCTCCCCTCACAGAACTTTTGGGGTATCCCCACAGGAACGTGAAGAAGATCCGAGGAAATCTGCGTTTGTATCCGAGATTTTGGGGGATCCTCAAAAATTTGGGGGTTCCTGGGATAGAAAAATTCTGGAAACCCCAAAATTTGGGATGACGGTGCCCAAATTTGGGGGTTCAACCTAAAATTGAAGGGGAGATTTTTGGGGGATCCCCAAATTGTTCCTTAACTCGGGGTTCAGGTACGGGCACCTGCAGGAGCTGGAGGTGAGGGGGACCCCAAAACTTGAGGGGCAATTGGGGTCAGATTTGGGGTGGGGAACCCAAAACTTGGGGGGGTTCCCTCAGATCTGGGGACATTTTGGAGAAATTTTGGGATTTTTGGGGAATTTTCAGGAATTTTAAGGGATTTTTTTTGATTTTGGGGGATTTTGGGGGATTTTTGGAGGGGATTTGAGGGAATTTTGGGGGGTCCAGGGGAGTTTTGTAGCTTGAAATGGGATTTTTTTTGTGGGCGAAATGCAAAATTTTTGGACAATTTTTTTGGGATTTGTGGGAATTTTGGGAATATTGGTAGGGATTTGGAGAAGTTCTGGGGATTTAAAAGGGATTTTTGGGGGAATTTTTGGGAGGAATTTTGGGGGGGCATTTTTTTGAGAAATCTTGGGGATTTGGGGGGGAAATTTTAGGGGGAATTTTGGGGATTTTGGAGGTTGAAATGGGAATTTTTGGGGTTTAATATGTGTTTTTTTAAAGGATTTTGGGGAAATTTTGGATTTTTTTTGAGGAATTTTTGGGATTTTTTGACAATCTAAGGGATTTGGGGTGAATTTGGGACGATTTTTTTGGGACTTCTTTCAAAATTTGGGGTTCCCTCAATGTGTGTGAGGGGGAGATTTGGGGGAGATTCCCCAAAATTTTGGAGAATTCCTAAAATTGGAGCCTCCCATAAATATTGAGCCTCATTTTTGTTGAATTTTGGGGGTCTTTTTGTGGGATTTTCTCTTTTTTCGGAGTTTTGGGAATCGTGAGGGGGTTGGGGACAATCTCAGGGATTTCTGGGGATGTTTTGGGGGAAGTTTTGAGGATTTTTTGGGGATTTGGGGGTGTTTTAGGGGGAGTTTTGGGGATTTTTTTGGGTTGAAATGGGAATTTTTGGGGTTTAATTTATGATTTTTATAGGATTTTGTGGAAATTTGAGGAAAACTTGTGATTTTTTTAGGATTGAGAGATTTTTTGGGGAATTTTAAGGATATTTTTGGGGATTTTTAGGGAAAATTTGGGGGGATTTTTGGGGAATTTTGGAAAAGACTTCGGGGAGTTTTTGGGATTTTTTGGCAATCTCAGGGATATCTGGGTGAATTTGGGAGGATTTGGGGTCAATTTTGAGCCTCATTTTTGTGGAATTTTGGGGGTTTTTGGGAATTTTTGGGGGGGAATTTTGGGCTTTTTTGGGGAAATTTTGGGGTTTTTGGGATATTTTAGAGGAATTTTGTGGATTTTGGGGGGAAATTTTGGGGATTTTTGGTGGAACTTTTGGGGAAGTTTTGGGATTTTTGTTGGGGGAATTTTGGATTTTTTAGAGAAATTTTGTGAATTTTGGGAAGTTTTGGGGAAATTTTGGGGATTTTTTGGGGGGAATTTTGGGGGGACTTTGGGGATTTTTTTGGTGGATTCGGGGTCAATTTTGAGCCTCATTTTTGTGGAATTTTGGATTTTTTATGGCGTTTCCCCCAAACTTCGGGAGTTTTGGGTATTGTTCGACCCTGGGCACACTCTCAGGGTAATTTGGGTGAATTTTGGCTGAATTCTGTCCCTTTTGGGCCGTTTTGGCGCAGGCCGCTCCGGCTCGGCCGGGCCAGCAGGGGGCGCTGCGCGCGGCCGTGGAGCGGCTCCGGAAGGAGGTGCGGGACCTGGGGGACGCCATTGCGGACGCACAGGAAACGGCGCGGCACCTCGGTGAGTCCGGCCGGAAACGCGGCCCCCGCACAAAGGTTCCTACCTCAAAACCTCCATTTCGGGGTCTCCCCAGCCCCAAATTTTGGGGTCCGCGCCATTTTTGGGGTCTCATGACCCCCCTAAATCCCAATTTTGGGGTCCTCACCACAAATTTGGGATTCCTGATGCTCCCAAAACCCAAAATTTGTGGTCCCTGATGAACTGAAACTCCAATTTTAGGGTCTCTGATGCACCTAAACCCCAATTTTGGGGCTCCTCACCCTTCAAAATCCCCAAATTTTGGGTCCCTGGCCCACCCCAAACCCAAATTTGAGGTTCCCTTCCCTATCTTAGAGCCCCATGACCCCCCCACCCTCAGTTTTGGGGCCCCTTCCCAATTTTTAGGGTCCCTGACCTCCCAAGACCCCAAATTTGGGATCCTTGGCCCTCTCAATACCCCAAATTGGGGGTCCCTGACCCACTCAACCCCCAAATTTGGGGGCTTCCACCACAAATTTGGGATCCCCTGACCCCCCCAACCCCATTTTTGGGGTCACCACCCCCAAATTTTCGGGACCCTCCCCCAATTTTAGGGTCCCAGACCCCCCCAAACCCCAATTTTGGGGTCCTCCACCCCCAAACTTATGGGGTCCCTTCCCCAATTTTGGGGTCCCCTTCCCCAGTTTTGGGCTCCCAGAAGCCCCCAAATCCCAAATTTTGGGGTCCCTGACCGCCCCAAACCCCAATTTTGGGGTCCCTTCCCCAATTTTAGGGTCCCAGACCCCCCCTAAACCCCAAATTTGGGGTCTCTGAACCCCCCAAACCCCAATTTTGGGGTTCCCTTTCCCAGTATTTTGGGTCCCAGGATCCCCCTAAACCCCAAATTTGGGACCCTCACCCCAATTTCGGGGTGCCCTCCCTCAATTTAGGGGTCCCAGACCCCCCAAACCCCAAATTTGGGGGTTCTCACCCCAAACCTTTGGGGTCCCCCTTTCCCTGCCAGACGCCTCGCTGGAGGAGGCGCAGAGGCGGCGGTGGGCGGAGCTTCAGCGAGGGGCGGAGCTTCGGCTGCTGGGGGCGGAGCCGGGCCCGGCTGGGCTGCAGGACGGCCACGAGGGGGCGCTGAGGGCAACCCATAAAAGGTGAAAGGGGCGGGGCCTGAAGGGGCAGGGTGGAAGGGGCGGGGCCCTGCAGTGTTTCCTTATATGGGCAGTGGGGGAATTTGGGGGATTTTTAGATTTTTTGGTCCCTGACTGAATTTTGGGGCCTTCAGGGGATTTTGGGTGATTTTTGAGGGGATTTTGGAGGATTCTCTGGGACTTGGGAGGATTTTGAAGGGTTTTCAAGAGATTTTTTGTGTCTCTCGGGGATTGTGAGGAGATTTTGGGGCATTTTGAGGAGAATTTGGCGTCCCTGAAGCATTTTTTGAGGGTTTTGGGTTCCTGGGAGAATTTTGAGACAATTTGAAGCATTTTGAGGGGATTTTGTGTTCCTAATGGGATTTTGGGAAATTTTGAAGGGTTTTGAGGAGGTTTTGGGGTCCATAAGGGGATTTTTGAAGAATTTTCTGGTTCCTGAGGGGATTTTGGGGTCCCTGGTGGGAATTTTCAGATTTTGGAGGATTATGAGGAAATTTTGATCAGAGTTTTGGGTCTCTGAGGTGATTTTGGGGGATTGTGAGGCAATTTTTGCTTTCTGGGGGGATTTTTGAGGTTCCTGAGTGGATTTTGGGTTTTCTGAGGGGATTTTTTTGGAATTTGGGGGAGATTTTGGGGTCCCTGAGGGATTTTGGGGGGATTTGAGGGATTTTGGGGGGATTTTGTTCCTAAGGGGATCTGGGGGGATTTTGAAGAAATTTTGAGGCGTTTTGGTTGATTTTGAGGAGACTTTGGGGTTCTTGATGGGATTTTTGGAGTTCCTGAGTGGATTATGGGTAAATTTGGGGTATTTTGGGCCATTTTGAGAAGATTTTGGGTATTTTAAAAGACTTTTGGGTCCCCTCAGGCCGGGCCAATCCCGGGCGGAGCTGTCGGCCATCTTGGCCGCGGGGGCAGAGCCGGAAGTGCTGGTGAGTGGGCGGGGCCTGACATGGTGGGCGGGGCCTGGAGACCATTCAGGGACCCCAAAATCAGCCCAGGACCCCCCAAAAATCCCCAAATTCCCCCAACCCCTCCCCCTCCGCAGGTGTCAATCAAGGCCCTGTGCAAGGCCAGGGAGGCAGAGCTCCAGAGGCCGCGCCCACACAGGTAAACCACACTCTTTCCTCCTTAACCCCTAATTAACCCCTCAATTAATCAATTAATTAATGAACCCCAGAGCTGCAAATCACCCCCGGAAGGCTCAGGAGGCTCCGGATTGGTCGGAACAGGCTGAGGTGGGCGTGGCTGGCTGGGGAAGGGGGCGTGGCTCTGCCCAGGCCACGCCCTCTGCTCTTACACGTGGCGCCCCCTACAGGCTGTACTGAGGCGCCACGGCCCAGAGGCCGTGCTTTGGGCACTGGAGGTCCTGGCCAATCAGAGCACAAGGTGGGTGGGGCATGAAGGACTGGGTGGGGCTTAAAGGGGAGGGAGTGGCCAAAAGAATGGGAGGGGCTTAAAGGGGTGGGTGTGGCTTAAAGAGATGAGTGGGGCTTAAAGTGTGGGTGTCGCCTAAGAGGGTGGGAGGGGCTTTAATATGTGAGTGGGGCTCAAAAGGTGGGTGGGGCTTAAAAGGGTGGGTGGGGCTCAAAGGCATTAGCTGGATTTAATGGTGGGTGGGTCTTAAATGAGTGGATGGAGCTTCAGTGAGTGGGTGGGCCTTAAATATGTGGGTGGGGCTTAAATGGATGGAGTGGGCTTAAAAGGGGCGGGTGTGGCATAAGTGGGTGGAGCTTAAAGGGTGGGTGGGGCTTAAAGGGATCGGTGGGTGGGGCCAAAAGCATGGGTGGGGCTTAAATAGGTAGGTGTGGTTTAAAGGGAATAGGTGTGGCTTTAAGGAGTGGGTGAGGCTTAAAAGAATGGGTGGAGCTTAGGGTGGTGGGTGGGGCTTAAAGGAATGGGTGGGTCCTAAAGAGGTGGGTGGGGGCTTTAAAAGGTGGATGGGGCTTAAAGGGATGGGTGTGGCTTAATGAGAATAGGTGTGGCTTAACAGGGTGGGTGTGGCTTAAAGATGTGGGTGGGGCTTAAAGGGATGGGTGGGTCTTAAATGGGTGGGTGGGCTTAAGGGGACAGGGTGGGGCTTAAGTGGTGGGTGGGTCTTAAAAGAATAGCCAGGGCTTAAAGGGGTGGGTGGGGCCAAAATGAGTGGGGGTGGCTTAAAGATGTGGGTGGGGCTTAAAGAGGTGGGTGGGGCCTAAAGGGATTAGGTGCATTAAATGTTGGGTTGTGCTTAAGCGGAGGGGTGTGGCTTAAATGGGTAGGTGTGGCTTAAAGGGATGGGTGGGGCATAAACATAGGTGGGTGGGGCTTACCAGGTGGGTGGAGCTTAAAGAAGTGGGCAGGGCTTAAAGGAATTGGTGGGGCTTAAATGAGTGGGTGGGGCTTAAAGGAATAGGCTGGGCTTAAATGGAGCGTGTGGGGCTGAAGAGGTGGGTGTGGCCAAACTGACTGGGTAGGGCTTAAATGGGTGGGGCTTAGAGGGGTGGGTGGGGCTTAAAGGGGTGGGTGGGGCTTAATGCAGTGGGTGGATTTTAAAGAGGGGGTGGAGCTTTAAATGGTCGGTTAGGCTTAGTTGCATGGGTGTGGCCCAAAGATGTGGGCGGGGTTTTAAGGTGTGGGTTCGGGCTTGAAGGGATTGGGTGGGTTAAATGTTGGGTGGGGCCTAAACAGTGGGGTGTGGCTTCAATGGGTAGGTGAGGCTTAAAAGGTGGGTGGAGCTTAAAGAAAGGGGTGGGGCTTTAAGGGTGGGTGGGACTTAGAGATAGATGGGGCTTAAAGGAGTGGGTGGGGCTTCAAATAGTGGGCGAGGCTTTAAAAGGTGGGTGGGGCATAAAGGAAGGGTGGGGCATGAAAGGGGTGGGTGGAGCTTAAGGGCATGTGTAGAGCTTAAAGGTGTGGGTGGAGCTTAAGTGGGTGGGTGGGGTTTGGGTCAATCCCATTGGGTTTTATAAATTTGGGTCAATCCCGTTGGGTTTGGGTCAATCCCGTTGGTTTTGGGTCAATCCCGTTGGGTTTGGGTGGATATGGGTCAATCCCGTTGGGTTTGGGTCAATCCTGTTGGGTTTGGGATGCATTTGGGTCAATCCCGTTGGGTTTTTGGGTGGGTTTGGGTCAATCCCATTGGGTTTTATGAATTTGGGTCAATCCCGTTGGGTTTGGGTCAATCCTGTTGGGTTTTTGGGTGGGTTTGGGTCAATCCCGTTGGGTTTGGGTCAATCCTGTTGGGTTTTTGGGTGGATTTGGGTCAATCCCGTTGGTTTTGGGTCAATCCCGTTGGGTTTGGGTGGATTTGGGTCAATCCCGTTGGTTTTGGGTCAATCCCGTTGGGTTTGGGTGGATTTGGGTCAATCCCGTTGGGTTTGGGTCAATCCCGGTGGGTTTGGGTCAATCCTGTTGGGTTTGGGAGGGTTTCGGTCAATCCTGTTGGGTTTGGGTCAATCCCGTTGGGTTTGGGTCAATCCGGTTGGGTTTGGGTCAATCCTGTTGGGGTTTAGGGTGGGTTTGGGTCAATCCCGTTGGTTTTGGGTCAATCCCGTTGGGTTTGGGTGGATTTGGGTCAATCCCGTTGGGTTTGGGTCAATCCCGGTGGGTTTGGGTCAATCCTGTTGGGTTTTTGGGTGGGTTTGGGTCAATTCCGTTGGTTTTGGGTCAATCCTGTTGGGTTTGGGTCAATCCCGTTGGATTTGGGAGGGTTTGGGTCAATCCCGTTTGGTTTGGGTGGATTTGGGTCAATCCCGTTGGGTTTGGGTCAATCCCGTTGGATTTGGGTCAATCCTGTTGGGTTTGGGAGGGTTTGGGTCAATCCCGTTGAGTTTGGGTGGGTTTGGGTCAATCCCGTTGGGTTTGGGATGCATTTGGGTCAATCCTGTTGGGTTTGGGAGGGTTTCGGTCAATCCTGTTGGGTTTGGGTCAATCCCGTTGGGTTTGGGAGGGTTTCGGTCAATCCCGTTGGGTTTGGGTCAATCCCGTTGGGTTTGGGAGGGTTTCGGTCAATCCCGTTGGGTTTGGGTCAATCCCGTTGGGTTTGGGAGGGTTTCGGTCAATCCTGTTGGGTTTGGGTCAATCCCGTTGGGTTTGGGTCAATCCTGTTGGGTTTTTGGGTGGGTTTGGGTCAATCCCGGTGGGTTTGGGTCAATCCTGTTGGGTTTTTGGGTGGATTTGGGTCAATCCCGTTGGGTTTGGGTCAATCCCGTTGGGTTTGGGTGGGTTTGGGTCAATCCCGTTGGGTTTGGGAGGGTTTCGGTCAATCCCGTTGGGTTTGGGTCAATCCCGTTGGGTTTGGGATGCATTTGGGTCAATCCCGTTGGGTTTTTGGGTGGGTTTGGGTCAATCCCATTGGGTTTGGGTCAATCCTGTTGGGTTTTTGGGGTGGGTTTGGGTTAATCCCGGTGGGTTTGGGTCAATCCCGTTGAGTTTGGGTGGGTTTGGGTCAATCCCTTTGGATTTGGGTCAATCCTGTTGGATTTGGGTCAATCCTGTTGGGTTTTTGGGTGGTTTTGGGTCAATCCTGTTGGGTTTTTGGGTGGGTTTGGGTCAATCCCGTTGGGTTTTTGGGTGGATTTGGGTCAATCCTGTTGGGTTTGGGTCAATCCCGTTGGGTTTGGGTGGATTTGGGTCAATCCCGTTGGGTATGGGTCAATCCTGTTGGGTTTGGGAGGTTTCGGTCAATCCCGTTGAGTTTGGGTGGGTTTGGGTCAATCCTGTTGGATTTGGGAGGGTTTCGGTCAATCCCGTTGGGTTTGGGTCAATCGCGTTTGGTTTGGGTCAATCCCGTTGGGTTTGGGTCAATCCTGTTGGGTTTGGGTCAATCCTGTTGGGTTTTTGGGTGGGTTTGGGTCAATCCCGTTGGGTTTGGGTCAATCCCGTTGGTTTTGGGTCAATCCCGTTGGGTTTGGGTGGATTTGGGTCAATCCCGTTGGGTTTGGGTCAATCCTGTTGGGTTTGGGATGCATTTGGGTCAATCCCGTTGGGTTTTTGGGTGGGTTTGGGTCAATCCCATTGGGTTTTATGAATTTGGGTCAATCCCGTTGGTTTTGGGTCAATCCCGTTGGGGTTTTTGGGTGGATTTGGGTCACTCCCGTTGGGTTTGGGTCAATCCCGTTGGGTTTTTGGGGTGGATTTGGGTCAATCCCGGTGGGTTTGGGACAATCCCGTTGGGTTTGGGTGGGGTTTGGGTCAATCCCGTTGGGTTTGGGTCAATCCCGTTGCGTTTGGGTGGGTTTGGGTGGATTTGGGTCAATCCCGGTGGGTTTGGGTCAATCCTGTTGGGTTTGGGTCAATCCTGTTGGGTTTGGGATGCATTTGGGTCAATCCTGTTGGGTTTTTGGGGTGGATTTGGGTCAATCCCGGTGGGTTTGGGTCAATCCCGTTGGGTTTGGGTGGGTTTGGGTCAATCCCGTTGCGTTTGGGTGGGTTTGGGTCAATCCCGTTGGGTTTGGGTCAATCCTGTTGGGTTTTTGGGGTGGATTTGGGTCAATCCCGGTGGGTTTGGGTCAATCCCGTTGGGTTTGGGTCAATCCCGTTGGGTTTTTGGGAGGGTTTGGGTCAATCCCGTTGGGTTTGGGTCAATCCCGTTGGGTTTTTGGGTGGGTTTGGGTGGATTTGGGATCCCGTGGTCGATCCTGTTGAGTTTTTGAGTGGATCCCCCAGATTTGGGCTGGATTTGGATTTAACAGTGGATTTAACAGGAATTCTCTGATCCCACTGGGGAATTCTCCGATCCAGGTGGAAATTATTGGGAATTTTCTGATCCCAATGGGAATTCAGTGGGAATTCTCTCTTCCAGGTGGGAATTCTCAGATCCAGGCAGGAATTCTGCAGGAATTTTCTGCTCCAGGTGGGAATTCTCTGATCCCACTGGGAATTAAATGGGAATTCTCTTTTCCAGGTGGGAATTCAGGCCAGAGCTCCCAATCCCACTGGGAATTTATTGGGAATTCTGTGCTCCCAATGGGAATTCTGTGCGCAGCCAGTCCAAGAAAATCCCCGGAATTCCGGAAGCTTCCATGGGATGCGGCCTCATCCAGGGGGGAGCCGCCTCATCCCGGGATTCCTCCTCTTCCTCCTCCTCCTCCTCTTCCTCTCCTGAGGCTCCTGAAAGGGGGAAAAGCTCTGAAATCCCCAAAAAAATTCCCAGAAATCCCAACCCCAGATTTCCCCCACCCTCTCTGGAATCCCAATCTCCATTTTTTCAGGAATTCCAATCCCAAATTTTTATTTTTTTCCCCCCTCTGGAATTCCAATCTCAAATTTCCCCCCCGTCCACTCTGGAATACCAAATCCCAGATTTTTCTTCCTTCTCTGGAATCCCAAATCCTGAATTTTTCAG